AAAAAAAAAAAAAAACCATTGGAGAAGACATTTGTGCTTGTCCACTCTCGCGTGTTTCCTGTGAGCCTTGGGCTTCATCTCTGTGGGAGTGTTCCTGCCTAGGCATAGAGCTGTGGCGTAGAAGATGCACATTGTACTGCTAAATCTTCGTGGAGGTTACAAAAAAGGTACTGCTTTATATACTTAGAGTAAGTATGAAGGGTTCTGAGCCAGAGGGAAGTTGCAGTGAAGCTCTGCCACCCACTGACGATGGGAATAGGAAGACAGTAACCTTCAAGAGGGTGATCCGGTGGTATTTTAACTGCAGTGTATTTTCATAACCTTTGAGGTTCTGATTTCATTGTATCAGTTTTTGACAGAATTTCATGTGAAGGCAGGCCTCTAGAGACATTTAATTTTTAGAAATTCAGGTGTGCTGTGGCTTGGTGTTTTGGGGCAGCACAGACATTACACGATACATTTTTTTTTCTAGCAAAACAAGGACTACCATCTGTTCTAGGGAGGAGACCCCATGTTATATTTTACGACGAAAGAATGAAGTGATTATGAATTCTGCCAGTGAAATAGGCATGTTTACTAGGAATAAATATTACCAGAAAGATCAGCCTTGTATGTAAGGATTATTTGGTAGACACTGGTCTTTAATACAATTTATTGCAAAGTGTCCACTACTTAAGAGTTCTTGGTTGCTGTTAAGTATCAGCATCACTGCAAAGTTTCACAGGGAGTGCCATTAAGTAACATACAGCTCTCTTGACAGATTTGCTTATACTTGAGATGAGAGCTCTGATACCAAGAGAAAGCTCTTGGAAGAAGAATATCATTTTAACATATTTGCCTATTGCTACTGCTTTCGTTGTTAACTTGCACATGAAATATATTATTCAGGAAACATGAAAACTTTAAATTCGAATGGATGCTACATGCTGTTCTGTGTCCTGCTTCTTTATTTCTTTTTTTTTTCCTCTTAAGATTTATTTATTTATGCAGACAGAATGGTGCATAAATGGTGCAGAATGGGATGGTGAGAGGATCCACCAGAGACAGAGTGGGGAGTAGAAAAGGCAGATTGACTGAAATACACTGCTGAGGGGAGCAGTGGTTGGGTCAGGAGAGGTCTGCCGCACCCTGTGGGTCACCTCTGGGGCTGGAGATCGAACTGGCAGTGAAGTGGCTGCTGCTTACTCTCAGTGTTGCAGTTTAACCCACTGCACCTGCTTCTTTCTTTGTACTGTATTGTGGTGATCTTTCCATATCAGCCCACCTTGTCTTTTGGCACTTAGTGTTCTTGACATTCCATCCTTCACAGGTAGAAACTATTACACATATGCACATATCTTAACCAGATCTGTATTATTGACTGATTGTACATTGTAATTTTATTGTAGTGGTTAAATCCTTTGTTTAAGGTTGACATTTCCTCATTTTGTTATTGGCTATCAATATATTTGAACGGTGAACATTGAGTGTCTTTGTGCCAACCACTATGTTAAGTGTCTCTTCATGCAAGTGCTGGTATGTTCCTTATCATTCTGCAATGAAAGATTATTTCCACATTATAATTGAAAAGGTTGAGACCCAGAAAGGTTAAGTAAACTTGCCTGCAGTTGTTGCCATATCCCTGGGCAGAACCAGGATTTAGTCCCAGAAATGTCTCATTCTGGAATCTGGTATGATTATTTCTCTAGCAGACATTCTATGCGAAAGCCTAACCTTCAGACATAATAAAACCTAAAGTAACACAAAGCATGTAAAAAGGCTTTGCAGACTCTAAAGGACTTTATGAATATAAAGAATGTAAGGTCAGGGAAGGTTGGTCAAGCTTTTCCCTGTTATAGTTAGAAAGTCTCAGGCAAAGACAAACAATCACAAACTTTACGATGTCATGAGCAGATATTTCTACGAAAGCACTGAACTGAAAGAAGTTAGCTTATCCTCAGGAGTACACAACATGTAAACATGGGCGTCCTTCTAAAGTGGAGCACAAGGAAGGTCTTCGCTTTATCAATTGACAAGAGATAATCACAATTTACACAGACGATAACAATAACGTAACTTGGCTAATGCTGTCATTTAAATGTCTATGGTATAAATTGCACTGAGCGTTATATGCTTTGGAGGTTTACTGACTTAAGAGAGGTTTGATTTCCCATAGAAATTCTGCTTATTGGATCACTGCATGGTTGTTTATTGTGCTCAGTAATGTAAGTTCTCTTTGTATCATCTTTCCATCTCTTTCCTTGCTTTGTAGGCTACAGCTGTTGATTCTGAGCCCAACAACATTCATCAGCTAGATGATTTTTTGGAAAATACCACTCATGGGCTATGGGATATGACTCACTCTAGGATCTTGGAGTCTGAAACCTTAGCAGCCTTGGGGGACAGCCCCTATCTGGAGACCATGATGCTCCGAATGGAGGAAATGGAAGTAAGGTCTGGGGCTGCAAGGAGGGGGTCAGGAGGTTGGGGGGACTTAGGTCAAGTGCAGCTACTCCTCGTGCTTCTGTAGTTTAGTCTTTCTGGGTCATGTGCCCCTGGTTTTAAATCCCAGCTCAGCTGTCCAGCAAGTATCTGACCAAATAAAGTAGAGTGTCTTATGGATAAAATGAGGTGTGAAATATCACTATTTGACACGTAACTCAGGAAATGATCATTATTATTGTCTCCTGATATCACTGATGTGATTCAAAACACACTAAGACCAGAGCTGCTCCCACCGTGAGCATGCCGATTTCCTCATTGCTCAGCTTGTAATTGTGTTTAGTTGTCTCTGCTGCTGTTGGTCACAGAAAATTTTTCCTTCTTTAATTCCCATATACTACTGTAAAATGCTTTTCTTGTCAAATTTTAGCCCTCAGGCTAAAACCAGGCATTACCCAGTTCATCCCCTGGTTCAAAACAGGAAGTTGAGACCCAAGAAAGGAGTTAGTGATATGGCCAGGGTCACAGCAAATTCCCACCCGATTTAGAATAAGAATCCAGGTTTCCTGACTCCAGTGCAGTGTTTCCTTAATCTTGTAGCTGATTTCTCCTTCTTGGAGGTGACTGTCTAGACCAGAATTTTCCGTAATGGTAGCCTGGAGTCACAGGTGACTAATTTAAATGTAAATGAATTAAGATTAATCACATGCCTTGTTTTCAAGTGGTCAATGGTTAGTGCTACTACATTGAACATGGCACATAGAACATTGCTATCGTCGGTGGTTAAAGACTAGATTAGATTAAGTTAGTGTACATTAATTGCTTCATTTTATTTTAGACTTCACCTCGCCAAGTAATCACTTCCTGGCCTGGCAGATGCCTGGTTTTGGTGATGTGTCTGTATTAAATGTGTCGTTGGAACTAATACTTCCTTAATAGTTCTGGTTCTTAGTGAAACTAATTTTTTTCCATGAGCTAAACTTGTTTTAATTTTTTTTTAATCAAAGAAATATCAGGAGACAGTTCGCCAAAGATACAATAAAATTGTATATGCTGACCCCCATCTTTGGATTCAGGAAGAAAAAAATGGTGAGCCTTCCCCCTACTTTTTCTCCCAATATTATATTCAGAAAAATTTCAGAGAAGTTGAAGAAAAAGTGTATAGTGGGCACTCATGTACCCACCTTCTAGAGTCTGCAGTTATGTTTCTGCATGAGCTTTCTCCTTTATGCATTTGTCTTTCACCTGCTCCTCAATTCATCCTGGTTTTTAATACATTTCAAAGTAAGAGGCGCATGCCCGTACATGTCCTCCTAAAACCTCAGTGTGTATCAGCGAAGGTGCTCAGGTATTTCTATATGATTCTTTTTCCTCTTGAGGTAAAATCCATGTATAGTAATGTACAGATCTTAAGGATGACATTTGATTTGTCTTTGTTACCCAGCGCCCTATCAAAAGGCAGACTAAACCATCGCAGAAAGCTCCCTGTGCTCCTGCCTCTGCAACCACCATGTGTTAGTTGTGCCCCTTCCAGAGCATTGTGTAAATGCTGTCATGAAGGCTCCTTTCATTCAGCGTAGTGTTTTATAGGTTTACCAATGTTATGATTTCCTGTTGCCACTGTGAGACATTTAAATTTCTAACAAGTCAAAGCACAGATTCAGTGACTTAAAAAACACAGGTTTCTTCTCGCATGATTCTGGGGATGAGTGAGTCTAGAAGTGAGTCCTAAAGGGCTAAAAATCAAGGCGTTTGACAGGGCTGGTTCCTTCGGGAGAGTTCTAGGGAGAACTTTTCTATCTCCTCCTCTACACTTGTCTCCTCTCTGCTTGTCAGGCCACTTTGACTGCATGTAGAAGCAAGTTGGAATCTGGGCTGTTCGCCGCATCTCAAGTTAATGTCCCTCTTGCCACAGAGGGACACATTCACAGGTTCCGAGGATTAGAAGGCAGGCAGTGTGCGGTCGCCACAGAGCGGTCACTGGCTCTGTGCTGGGATCAGCAGTCCCCCGCGCTGAGTGGTAGCCCTCTGCGCATGCGCCTCATCTTCGGCCTGGTCTGCATTTCAGTCTTTCTCATTGTGGGTTATTGGGAATTAATCTGCTCTGAATATATTCCTGTGTAATGTCTGTGTGGGCGTAGCTTTTATTTTTCTTGGGTAAACACTCAAATATTCCAGGTCATGGGAGTGCAGGTGTATGTGTAACTTTATGAAAAAATTGCCAAATTCTTCCCCAAGTTACTACCATTTTACACTCCCTTCTGACGTTGAGTTCTGCGGTTTGAGGTCTTTGCCAGCATTTGACGTAGTCATTTTTTTAACAGGACTTTTCTGGTGGGTGTGTAGTGATCTTGTGTTTTTAGTTTAATTTTCTTGATAAACGATGTTTAGAGCATTTTCAAGTCGTTTATATTTTTGTATTTTTTTTATAAAGTTGGGTTTTCTTTCATGTCTGTAACAGGAATTCTTTATGCATTCTGGGTAGAAGTAACAGGTTTATTGAAATATAATTCACATACCATAGAATTCATCCTTTTAAAGTATACAGTTCAGCAATTTTCAGTGTATTCATAGAATTGTGCAAGTATCACTGCTATCTAATTCCAGAACATTTTCACCACCCTAAAAAGAAGCACCCATTAGCCGTCATTCCCCAACCTACCTCCCCTTGCAGTCTTAGCAGCCACTAATCTGCTCAGTTAAATGTTGGAAAAATTTTTTCCCCTCTGTGGCTCATCTACTTTTTTTCAATTTTTCTTTTTTTGTGAGCAGGCTATTTTAAATTTTGCTGAAAGTCTAACTTACCAACTGTTCTTGAATAGTTTTTGCTTTCTTTGATCTAAGAAACCTTTGCCTATTGACAAGTTGAAAAGAGAGTCTCTTGTTTCACTTAGAGGCTTTTAGTGGTTTTAGCTTTTATGTATAGGTCTATGATCCATCTTGGCTAAAAATTTACCTATGTTTTGAAGGAGCAGTTGAGTTTTCTTTCATTCCCCTCCCCCAGAGTGGAACAAATACCCATTTGTTCTCACACCATTTGTTGAAAAAATTTTCATTTTTATCCTGCATTTTTGAAAATCAGTTCATATACGTTTTGGCTACAGTTGCTATGATACCATCACAACTTGAACTGGGAATGTCAGTCAGATTCTGTTTGACTCACACTTAATAGTTACTACCTTATTCGCTAAAAGGCGGAGAATAAAATGTGGTTAAACATTACCTCTGAAGAAATTTAAGTACTGTGAGTATTATGAGATGTAAAGGAAATTGCAGGTCCAGAAGCTTAATAGCAGCGGCTGTGTTACATGTTCATATTTTAGACTGAATATGGGGTATTCTTTTAGAGAAAATGTTCATTGTATCGTAACTTATTGGAAAGATAAGCCATTTAAACTCAATTCTGATGTGTTTCCTTTCATGTTTTCTCCAACTCCTAGCACTCTATTCTTTGCTCATGTGACCCCCCTGCCCCCCAGCTCCCCTGTGTCCTCATACAACAATCAAACCATTCTTCAGGAGGCCCAGCTTAAGTGGTCCCACTTGGGCAGTGCTTTTCCTGATTCTCCTGAACTGGAGCAGTCCTCCTTGCCCACCTGAGGACTCCCACAAACTGCTGACAGGTCGCCTGTGTGTTAGAGTTATTTGTGGAGGGGGCCTATCTCCCAACAAAGCTGCAAACTCTCTGAGACTGGATAATTTGTCATATTCAGTTGTTTTCCCCCCATGTTGAGCATGGGCCTGGCACAGGGAGCCCCTTCTGGTCATTGCTTAGCCAGTCAGAGGACATTTAGCTTCTTTGTGTGTGGCAGAGGACAGGGAATGGTGAAGGGCAGTCATCTCACTGATGGTTTGGCGACTGGCCACAGAATTGGGTTGCATCATGCAGAAGACAGTCTTACCAAGGACGGGTGTTCTCATTTCTCAGGACAATTTAAATTATTAGCCACTCTCAGTGACTTTGCGGATGCTCTAGGTATGCGTGTAGAAGGAGCTCTTTAGAATGCTAAGAACTGAGTTGGATAAAGGCACTTTATTCCAGAATCACAAAACCATAGTCCTGCTCTTGTAATCGTCCTCATCTATGTTCAGTCATACCCCAAACTGATGTGAAGTGGTGTTTGAATTGTACAGTGGTTTTATCTTTTGAAATCAGTTGAAAATTGTATTCCCTGTAATATTTTTATAAGAATTGACTTATGCAATATTTCTTTTGACAGTAAGAAATCATAAATCTAGAAAGGCGAGTCAGAGAACATTGTTTGACTTCTAGTGCTTCTTACTTAAGAGAAGGACAAATTTTCTTCAGACACTTGAAATACATTTAAAATTTTAAATAATCACAAACTCAAAAGAGCTGTCAAGCCTTCAAGGTACATTTAAGAAGTTAATATTTTGACTGCCATCATGCAGATTTTTTCCAGCAATGCCCAGAGACAAATTAAGTCAGCTAATTAAGTGCTCAGGTGTGAATGATTTTTTTCCTTTTCCAGTAGTAAATCAGTTAAAGGTGAAAAAAACAAACCCAAGTGCTCTCCACTCGGAATGTGACTGGACCCTAATAGGATGCTCATCCCAGGACTTCCAGTGGACCTGGGTGTCTCCTCAGAGTGAGTGGGGGCTTCAGAAGGAGTTCCCTGTTTGGTGAAACTGATTCCTCATTGTTTCTTTGTAACTTTTAGTTTCACCTTTTCATTCTTCCATTCATTCTTTCATTCTTCCTTTCATTCCCTGAAGGAGAGATCACATGACTTCCTTGTATCAGGGCAGCTCTGAGAGGTGCATTTCCTTTTCTTTACATGCAGTCACTTTATCCCTCCTCTTTTCTAGACCAAAAAAATCCAGCAATAAATGAAAAACCCCTGCCTCCTCACCCAATCAAGATCACCAAGACAGCAGCTCGCCAAGAGCCGGACGTGAGCATCATGTTAGAACGGCCCAGGAACGGCAAGTGAGTGGGAACAAGGCTGTCGACCGCATGGTAGCGGGTCGCCTTTGACGCTAAGTTTTGAACTTCAGTCGCCACAGACAGAAATTCTTCTTTAGAATAAGATCTTGCCAGGCACCAGGGGAATCCATAAAACAGCACATTTAGAGGTTCAGCTTTTAGTGTGTCGCATCTTGAGGAGCTTGTCTGTATTCAGAACCATCTTGCTGGCTCCTACTGGTGGGGGCATCACGTTAGCACGTGGGGTGTGCTGTTAGTGGCCGCAGGATTTGTTTCGAGAGCTCTGTCATAAGGCATAGGAATTCCTACTAAGTTGGATGTTCATTCCAGTGAGAATGGGAAACAAGTGGTGATGGGGTGTTGTGTTTTGTTCCCCATAAGCAAGAGAAATGAAAGCAAACCATTGGTTAGCAAACCATTTACCCTTGCTTTGCAGATGACTTTAAATACTTTGATCATTTTTATTTGCTTTCAGTTCCCTGGATGAAAGTGTGGGAACAGAGGAGACCTTGGAGAGAAGAGAGCCTCCCCTTCCCGCTCTTGCGGAAGATTCCCGACAGAGAGAAGGTCGCACTGCCCTCTCTGTCCCCCCGGCGATGCGGCACAGCATCGGGGACTACTGCAGCCGTTTCGAGCAGTACCTCCGGATGATCTCTCACGAGGCCGTGGGCGCCTTCAACCCCTGGCTGATCGCCGAAAGGTCAGTAAGGTGTTCCAAGACGTCTGGAAGTCAAGGGTCTTCCTGCAAGGCTGGAGGAAGGACGGTCGAGGTCTCATGCTGTGCTCTTGGCTCCTGGAGTTCCAGTGGTGGCCTGTGGGCTCGTGGTCAGGCTTTCTCTGCCAGCTGCCCTGTTCAGGTCCAGGAGACCCCCAAATAGCCTGTGTGTGCTACCCAAAGCAGCATTCTGCAGCCTCTTCCTCTCAGGTGAAGGCACGATGCCCAGGAGTCAAGGCAGGGCAGAGCTCCTCGTGCTGTAGCGACATTCATCAGAGAACTCGGGGAGTCGTGGGCGGGACAGAGGGTGAGCTCAAGAGCTGCGGTCTTCAGACTGTGGGACATTTTCTTTAACCCTTCTTTCCCCGGGCGTCATCTCTCTGGAGATACAGTTTTGTGGAGTTCTGTAGAGTAAAACAGAGTCCTGCTACTAAGTATTTGAAGAACGATGCCTTTCTTTTATGTAAGTCGTTGGTTGAGCTGTGTGAGGCTGTTGGGTGGCAGATCAGGCTGCCGCAAGAGTTGTCAAAGTAGCAGATTGATTATTTGGAATTGCAGCAACAGGGAATGAATGATGCCCTAAACATCTCTCTCTCCTGAAAGCAGAAGTCTCCTCTCCCCCTCCCCATCTCTGCTGCCCTGAAAACAGGGCATGCGTCCGTGTGCTAGGTAGCCTTCTGCACAGAGATGGAGAGATGCCCCAATTGTTAGAAGCGAGGGCAGGAAGCTAATCGGCTCTGCTTAAGCTCAGTAGATTAGTTGTCCAAACCAAAACTTTCAAGAATTTCTTTGTCCTCTCTGTTTTTCTCAGAGTTATTGCTTCTTTATCTAAAAACTATACAAACTCTTTAGTCATTCTTTCGGTTCTATATTTTACGAACTTCCATGCGCATAAAACTAAGTTTGTCTTTTCTCGTGCTAATCTCTTACTATATTAGTTTATTTTTTTTTAAAGATTTATTTATTTGTGCATACAGAACTGGGGTACAGGCCAGAGGCTTCACCAGAGACAGAGTGGGGAACAGAACAGGCAGATCAACGAAGTACACTGCTGAGGGGAGCAGC